AAAAAAAAGAAGTTACAATAAATACAGAACACAATTCAGCACTTGTGGCATGCTTGGGTGGTTGACTAGGAGCAGGAAGACAGGAGTTACCTGCATACCACATTGTTCTGGGCTCAAGAGACCTGCAGTAACAAGTGCTTCGCAGACCCCTGGCTCAAAACAACTGTGAGTTAAATACAACTCATATGGCATTAATGTGTCAATGAGTACAACAATAAAAGGGAGATCTTATTAAAATGCAGATTTTTATTCGATTACTCTGGGGTGAAGCCTAAATTTCTGAATTTTCTCTTTTTTTGTTTGTTTTTTGCAGTTTTTGGCTAGGGCTGGGTTTGAACCCACCACCTCCGGTATATGAGGCTGGCACCCTACTCCTTGAGCCACAGGTGCCACCTGAATTTTCTGTTTTTGAGACAGAGTCTCACGTGTTGCCCTTAGTAGAGTGCCATGGCATCGTAGCTCACAGCAACCTCAAACTCTTATGCTGAAGTGATTCTCTTGCCTCAGACCCCTGAGTAGCTGGGACCATAGGCACCCACCACAATGCCCAGCTATTTTTAGAGGCAGGGTCTTGCTCTTGCTCAGGCTGATCTCGAACCTGTGAGCTCAGGCAATCTACCCACCTCTGCCAGAGTACTGGGATTATAGGCATGAGTCACTGCACCCAGCCCTAAATTTATGAATTTCTACCAGGCTCATCAGGAAAGTCTATGCTTCTTTCAAACAGAGAAATGTCAGCCGGGTGTGGTGGCTCATGCCTGTAATCTTAGCACTCTGGGATGCTGAGGTAGGTAGACTGCTTGAGTTCAGAAGTTCAAGATCAGTCTGAGCAAGAGCTAGACCTATCTCTAAAACTAACCCAGCATTGTGGCGGACGCCCATAGTCCCAGCTACTCGGGACGCTAAAGCAAGAGGATCACTTGAACCCAAGAGTTAGAGTTTGCTATGAACTATGATGCCATAGAACTCTACCAAGGGCAACTGAGTGAGACTTTTGTCT